AGACAGAGTTTCATTCTTGTTGCACAGGCTGGAGTGCAATGGCACGATCTTGGCTCACTGCAACCTCCACCTCCTGGGTTCAAGCAATTTTCCTGCCTCAGCCTCTCAAGTAGCTGGGATTACAGGCATGCTCCACCATGCCTGACTAGTTTTGTATTTTTAGTAGAGACGGGGTTTTGCCATGTTGGTCAGGCTGGCCTCGAACTCCTGACCTCAGGTGATCCACCCGCCTTGGCCTCCGAAAGTGCTGGGATTACAGGCATGAACCACTGCGCCCGGCCAGGTATATATGTATGTTGGTATATAATGGTAAAATAGAAATTTCAAATTGGAAACATTCCCATGAGGTAAATAGAAATGGCGAAACCCCGTCTCTACTAAAAATACAAAACTAGTCAGGCATGGTGGAGCATACCTGTAATCCCAGCTACTTGGGAGGCTGAGGCAGGAAAATCACTTGAACCCAGGAAGTGGAGGTTGCAATGAACCGAGATTGTGCGATTGCACTCCAGCCTGGGCAATAAGAGTAAAATTCCTTCAAAAAAAAAATATATATATATAACAATTTTATATATATATATATTACATAATGTATTTTTTTTACCTTTATATATATACATTACATAATGGTAAAATATTATCTCTGCCCCAAGTAGATTGTTAGCACCAGAAGAGAAAGAATCATGTCTTTTGTTTATCTAGATATGCCCATCTGCCTGGTAGATGTTATAGGCAACAGCTACTTGTGGAATCGGTAAATGCACGAATAGAATGAGTAAATGAATGAATGGACGAAAGGCAGAAATCCAGCCTCAGGCCGGGCGCGGTGACTCACACCTATAATCCCAGCACTTTGGGAGGCCGAGGCGGGTGGATCATGAGATCAAGAGATCCAGACCATCCTGGCTAACACAGTGAAAACCCATCTCTACTAAAAATACAAAAAATTAGCTGGACATGGTGGCAGGTACCTGTACTACTACTTGGGAGGTTGAGGCAGGAGAATGACATGAACCCATGGGGGCAGAGCTTGCAGTGAGCCGAGATCGTGCCATTGCACTCCAGCCTGGGTGACAGAGCAAGACTCGTCTCCAAAACAAACAAACAAACAAACAAACAAAGAAATCGAAATCCAGCCTCAAAGAGCTTACAGTCTGGTAAGAGGAACAAAATGTCTGCAAATAGCCACAGGACAGGTCAAAGGAAGGAGAAGCTATTTCCAGCTGAGGACACCCCATCAGGAAAGCACCCCAGACTTCCTACAACTACTAGACACATCTCGATGCTTTTCACTTCTCTATCAATGGATTGTCTCCTGGAAGAATCTATCTACAAGTAAATTACTTAGCACGTCGGTTAGGTAGATCATTATGTACTTCTTGGTTGTTCAGAGATCATCAACCAGTGCAAACAATACCCCATCAACACACAACAGTGCCTGCCCTCTCCTCCCCAGCCTTCCGAGGCCCTTTCTCTCCGTGCCTGAACCACCCCCAGTGCCTGAACCCCGGCCATATCATGTGGCAAGCAGGGTCAACGAGATACAGGAAGTGAAACACGATGTACACTGGGCGTGCAATACAAATATGCAGCATGATGTGCCTCGGTTCACTAAACCGAAACTACGCTGGAGTGGATTGTTTTCCTACCACTTTCATATGCAAGCCTGGACACCTCATTCTGCTGCTGGAATTCATGTGTTCCGAATTCCCCCATCTTCATGGAACATCCTCTGTACAGGGACTTGACCCCTATACTAGCTTTGCACTGAGGCAAGCTCTGTCATGCACCTAGTAGTGCCACCATCTTTACTAGATGAGGTTTCTAAAGATCTTGGCATGGAAGGAAAGCCCAGGGACCTTGGATAGGCATCACTTGAACTGCAGGAGAGCTCCCAGGCAAGCCACCTGATCTCTTTGAGCCTCAGTATCCTCACTCACATCCCTATGGCTCAAGTGAGTGCAAGCATCAGTGGACACACAGAAGTATTGATCATCACCTCCTCCCTAGGAGACGCAGGAATCCCCACATAATATTCCCTGAGCCTTAATCCAATGAGCTGAGTAATTGACTCGGTACCAAACTCCAGAGAAAGAACATTAGAAGCCAAAAAGGAGGTGAGTATGTCCCAGTACGATAACCAGCCTCTGATCTCAAGGAAGAAAGAACAGAGCTGCAGGTGGGAAGTGTGCGCCGCAAATCACACCCAAAAGTGGGGGAGTGGAAAGGAGGCACCCACAGTCCTCGGAGCGTTCTAAGACCGGTAGAACAAGCCGGAAAATGTGATTGTCTCAACCCACAGTCTCTTCCAGGGCCTAACAGGAGGTCTCAAAGCCTGAAAGGCACCACTTTAGGATCAACAGCAGATCTGCAACATTCCACAGCAGGCACACAGAACCCTAGAGTTAGTCAAGGTTGGACATAGGAAGGGCTTCCAAACACACAGAGAAATTCATTAATCCTAAATTATTAAGGGAGGTTCTTTAAAAGAACCAAGATGGTCTGAGATCTATCCTGAGATTTTTTTCGATACGGAGTCTCACTCTGTGCCCAGGCTGGAAAGTGCAGTGGTGCAATCGACTCACGGCAACCTCTGCCTCCTGGGTTCAAGCAATTCTTGTGCCTAAGCCTCCCCAGTAGCTAGAATCACAGGGGCATGCCACCAGGCATGGCTAATTTTTCTATTTTCAGTACAGACGGGGTTTCACCATGTTGACCACGCTGGTCTCAAACTCCTGACCTCAGGTGATCCACCTGTCTCGGCCTCCCAAACTCTTGGGATTACAGGCGTGAGCCACCCGCCCGACTTCTCCTGAGCCTTTAGAGGCTACAAACCAGAGATGCAAGCCCAGTCTCTCCCCACTGGCCATGCAGGGCTCTTGTTGGAGTGATCTCTCAGCCTGCAGGAGCCAGGGATCTGGCCCCAGTGATGCCCAACAGTGGGCCATTTCCTAGTACTGTCAGGAAAATCCCAAGTCTAATTCAAAGTTGATTTTGTACTAGCAATGAATGATGGACAAGGTTTCCATTGCTCAAGGTCCTCAGAAGATCTAGACTAGAAAAAAGGATCACTGACTTCTACCCACACCTGTGGGCCTCAGTTCTTCCCTCCCGGGTCCATGGTTGCCATGGTAACCCTTTGTAAAGGTGTTTCCCCAGGGTCCTAGAGTCCTCTGAGTCACCGTAACTCTGAGGTCAACAGAAGTGGAGAGGTGAGAGGAGACACTCCCGTGCCCTGGCTGGTCCCACGTGTTCTGAAAGCAACCTGTCGGGGGAGCCCCACCACCCCCGTGTCCATCTACAGAGCTCTGGATTAGTCCCATTCAGGCTCCTGCTATCCTCATTCCTAAGGGGAGGCTGGAGACTTCTTCCATGGCCTAAAGTCCACATCTAAGTCCCCAGCACTAGCAAAAAGAGGCCCTGTCATGGGCTGCTCCTGCCTCAATTGACATTGGAGGAACATGGGAAAGCTAAAATAACTAAATAACTGAGTAGCATCATACTACCTGCTCTAGAGAAAAAAAATTTTTTTCTTTTTTCCGAGATGAGTTCTGCTCACATTTTGCCCAGGCTGGAGTACAGTGGCGATCTCAGCTCACTGCAAGCTCCACCTCCTGGGTTCAGGCCATTCTCCTGCCTCAACCTCCTGAGTAACTGGGACTACAGTGCCCGCCACACACACCCAGCTAAATTTTTTGTATTTTACAGTAGAGGCAGGTTTCACCATATTAGCCAGGATGGTCTTGAACTCCTGACCTCGTGATCCCCCACCTCGGCCTCCCAAAGTGCTGGATCCACAGGCCTTAGCCACCGCGTCCAACCTGATGAGCATCTTGGCGTGATGTGTTCGGAGTTCCAAAGCTAGGAAGACACTCCAAACCTTCAAGAGCTCTTCTAACTTTCAGATTCTCTGATGGTTTCAGGGCTGAGAGGAAGCGCTTGTCTCGTGTCTGTCCCGGAATTTCTGCTTCTTGGCCATATCTCTGCTGCAGGTCCAAGAGGCTGGGGCAATACCTGAGTCTGGGTTCTTTGTCCCCAGGAGACCCCTGGGGGAGCGCCCCCACCCCCACCCACCCAGGAAACAGGGAAAGGGAGGCAAAGTGGGAGTTGGTTCCCTCTCTAGTGGTCAGTGTGCTTTGCATCCAGCTGCCTCAGGCGGGCAGGAGTCGTCAACAAAAGTGGAATTAAAGGACTGAATCGTTCCCAGAACCCCCACAATCTGTGCCTGTGCTTGGCCTTTTCGCAGCACACACATTCTCTCTGCTGGGTGGAGGGGAAACATGTGGGGAGGAGGAAAGGGATAGGATGAGGAGTGGGATGGAGATCGAGTAGGGGTCACGAGGACTGGCTATCATGACATCCTTCCCAGCGTTGAGTTAACCACCATGGCGTGCTGCCGAGGACACCACCTGCTCCTTAAGAGAGGATAAATTGGGTGGTATCTCTGGCTGACACTCTACAACCCTCACAATGCTGGTAATGATTAGGAAGGGAAAGATGACAAGCCAGGGCATAGTCCCAGCTGTGTGGGAGGAGCTTCTAAATTATCCATTAGCAGCCGTCAGTAGCCTGCCGTAGTCTTACGGAGAGGCAGGTGGGGGCAAGCGGCAGAGACAGGGGCCAGGGTATAAAAGGGCCCACAGAGACCAGCTCCAGGATCCCAAGGCCCAGCTCCCGAACCACTCGGGTTCCTGTGGACAGCCCACCTAGCTGCAATGGCTGCAGGTAGCGCCCGAAAAATCCCTTTCCATGATGTGTCGAGGAGAGGTGGCACCCTGTAGATGGGACAGGGCACTAGCCATAGGTTTGAGGGCTTCTGAATGTGATACATCCATGTCTAAGCCCAGATATTTGATAATCTCAGATGTTCCTGGTCCTGGAGGATGGACAGAAAAAAACTCTCAAACAGCTGCATGCTCACAGGGCAGGGAGGCACTGGCCTCTTGCTCTCCGGCTCCGTCTGTGCCTTCGGTTTCTCCCCAGGCCCGGACATCCTGCTCCTGGCTTTGCCCCTGCTCCTGCCCTGGCTTCAAAGAGGGCAGTGCCTTCCCCAACCATTCCACCATCCAGGCTTTTTGTGCTTGCTATCGCGCCCATCGCCTGCACCAGCTGGCAGCTGACACCACCAGGAGTTTGTAAGCTCTTGGGAATGAACACATCACAGGTGGCAGGAGGGGTGACTTCCATAAGCTGGAAAGTAAGGGGAGGAGACTAAGGAGCTCAGGTTGTTTTCTGAAGCAAAAAGGCAGGCGGATGAGCGATGGCTGGTGAAGTTCCCAGAAAGTAACAATGGAGCTGGTCTCCAGCATAGATCTTGAGTGGTGAGTCCTTCTCCTGGAAGAGCCTATATCCCAAAGGAACAAATGTATCATTCCTGCAGAACCCCCAGACTTCCCTCTGCTTCTCAGAGTCTATTCCGACACCCTCCAACAGGGAGGAAGCACCCCAGCAGAAATCCGTGATGGATCACCTTCTCCCCGAGACGGGGATGGGGGAGGCCTGGTCAGAGCCCTGGGCAGCACAGCCACTGCGTGTCCTTCCCCCTGCAGAACCTAGAGCTGCTCCGCATCTCCCTGCTGCTCATCCAGTCGTGGCTGGAATGATGCCAGTTCCTCAGGAGTGCCAACAGCCTGGTGTATAGCACCTCGGACAGCGACGTCTATGACCTCCTAAAGGACCTAGAGGAAGGCATCCAAACACTGATGGGGTAGGGGTGCTGCCAGGAGTCCCCAATCCTGGAACCCACTGGCTTCGAGGCTGGGGGAGAGAAACACTGCTGCCCTCTTTTTTTTTTTGCCAGTCATTCCTGACCAAGAAGACTCCATAGTCTTCATTTCCCTGGTGAATCCTCAGGCCTTTCTCTATACCCTGAAGGAGGAGGGAGGAAAATGAATGAATGAGAGAGGAGGGAACAGTGACCAAGCGCTCGAGCCTCTACTACTTCCTTCACTTTGCAGAAACTGTAGACGGCAGCTCCCGGACTGGACAGATCTTCAAGCAGACCTACAACCCAAGTTTGACACAAACTCACACAACAGCATTACTGCTCAGAACTACGGGCTGCTCTGTGCTTCCAGGAAGGACATGGACAAGGTCGAGACATTCCTACGCCTCGTGTGATGCCGCTCTATGAGAGGGCAGCTGTAGCCTAGATGCCTGGTGGCATCTGTGACCCCCTCGATTACACTCCTGGCCGTGGGAAGGTGCCACTCCAGTGCCCACCAGATGTGTCCTAATAAAATTAAGTTGCATCATTTTGTCTGACTAGGTGTCCTTCTATAATGTCATGGGGAGGAGGGTGGTGATAACGATCTCAAGCCAGCAGGACAGGAAGATGACCTGTAGGGCCTGTGGGGTCTATTGGGAACCCAGGCTGGAGTGGCGGCACCATCTTGACTCACTGCAACCTCCGCCTGCTGGGTTCAGGCAATTCTCACCTCAGTCTCCCGAGTTGTTGGAATTCCAGACACTACATGACCAGGCTCAACTGGTCCACCCATTATTTTTGGAAAGACAGGATTTCACCATCTTGGCCAGGCTTGTCTCCAACTCCTGACCTCCAGTGATCCACCCACCTCGGCCTCCCAAATTGCAGGATCACAGGCACCGACCAGCGCCCTTCCTTGTCCTGTTATTTTAAAATAATTATACCAGGAGGGTCAACAGCATGGGCGACCTGGCCATGCCCAGCCCAGTAGACATTTGACTTCTTTGCTTGGCACTGTCCTCTCATGTGCTGGAGTCCCTCTAGATGCTTGTTGAATTCCTGGGCCTTGGGCTGTGCCAGCTGCCTCGTCCACGTCCTGTGGCTTATTCTCTCCATGTCTTACCTATTGCCTCCTTAGGACTGTTCTCCATTCAGAAATTTCTATTTTTACCATTTTATATTTACTTTTTTGCTATTATCTCTGCGGCCAGTAGATTGTTAGCTCCAGAAGAGAAAGGATCATGTGTTTGTTTATCTAGATGTATTATACACCTGGTACAATCTCTAGTACATGTTATAGGCAACAACAACTTGTGGAATCAGTGAATGCATGAATAGAAGAATGAGTGAATGAATGAATGGGTGAAATAAATCAACCTCAAGAGCTTACAGTCTGGTAAGAGGAACAAAATATCTGCAAATAGCCACAGGGCAGGTCAAAGGAAGGAGAGAGGCTATTTCCAGCTGAGGGCACCTCATCAGGAAAGCACCCCAGACTTCCTACAACTACTAGACACATCTCGATGCTTTTCACTTCTCTATCAATGGATTGTCTCCCTGGAGAATCATCCCCAAAAGTGAAATTGCACGTCAGTTGGGTAGATGTTACCTCCCCTCTTGGTTTGTTAGAAGATCATCAACCAATTACAAACAATACCCCATCAACACACAACAGTGCCTGCCCCTCTCCTCCCCAAACCCGAGCCCTTTCTCCATGCCGCAAAGCCCCGCCAGTGCCTGAACCTCGGCCATATCATGTGGCAAGCTTAAGGGTCCAACGAGATACAGAAGTAGAAACGATGTACATGACGTGCAATACAAATATGCAGCATGGTGTGCCTCGGTTCACTAAACCGAGCTACGCTGGGTGGTTGTTTTCTACCACTTCCCTTAATGCCTATGGACACCTCATTCTGCTGCTGAATTCTTGTGCTCGAATTCCCCCATCTTCATGGAACATCCTCTGTGCAGGGACTTGACCTGTACCTGCTGGCTTGCACTGAGGCAAGCTCTGTCCATGCCCTAGTAGTGCCACCATCTTTACTGGAATGAGGTTTCCCAAAGATCTTGGCATGGAAGAAAGCCCAGGGACCTTGGATAGGCATCACTTAGAAACTAAGAGCTCAGGCAAACCACCTGATCACACAGGCCTCAGTATCTACTCATCCCTATAGCTCAGTAGAAGTGCTGACACATAATTAAGACACACAAGTATTGATCATCTTTCTCTCCTAGGAGAGCCTTAGGAATCCCACATAATATTCCTGAAGACCTTAATCAATGAGCTGAGTAATTGACTCAGTACCAAACTCGGAAGAAGGACATTAGAAGCCAAAAGGAAATTGAGTATGTCCCAGTACGATATCCAGCCTCTGATCTCAAGGAAGAAAGAACAGAGCTGCAGGTGGGAAGTGTCTTGCCGCAAATCACCAAAGTGGGAGTGGAAAGGCACCCACAGTCCCTCAGAGCAGGTCTAAGACCAGTGAGAATGGCTTGGAAAATGTGGGTGTCCTCTTACAGTCTTGAACCTAATAGGAGATCTCAAGCCTGAAGGCACCTTTGGGATCAACAGCAGATCTGCGACTTTCCACAGCAAGCACACAGAACCTAAAGTTAGTGAGTTGGACATGAGAAGAACTTCCAAACACACAGAAATTCATTAATCCTAAATTATAAAGGAGGTTCTTTAAAGAACCAAGATGCCTGTGAGATTATCCTGAGCTTTTGTTTTTGTTTGTTTTGATGCAAGTCACTCTGTCTCAGGCTGGAGTGCAGTAGCATGATCTCGGCCTGCAACCTCCACCACGCGGGTTCAAGCAATTTCCTGCCTCAGCCTCCTGGTAAGCTGGGATTACAGGGGCCTGCGCTATGCCCAGTTAATTTTGTATTTACCCCAATACAGGCGTGATTTCGCCATCTTGTAGCCAGGTTGGTCTTGAACTCCTGACCTCATGATCCACCCACCTTGGCCTCCCAAAGTGGAGGGATTACAGGTGTAAGCCACCATGCCAGGCCTCTGGGCCTTTTGAAGCTGAAACCAGTGGTGGGGAAACCCAGCCTCTCTGACTGACCATGAGAGGCCCTTGTTGGGTGATCTCTCAGCCTGCAGGAGCCAGGATCTGGCCCCAGAGATGCCCCAACAGTGGGCCACTTCCCAGGACTGTGGAAAATCCCAAGTCTGAATTCAATGCAGTTTGCTAGCAATGAATGATGAATAAAGTCTCCATTGCTCCAGGCCCTCAAATCTAGACTAGAGAAAGCGATCGCCCGACTTCTACCCACACCTTGGGGCTCAGCTCTTCCTCTGGTCCATGGTTGCCCGTGGCCAATCACTGGCAAGTTGTTTCCCCAGGAGTCCCTCCTCTGAGTCACCATAACTCTGTGGTAAAACAAACGGATAGATGAGGAGAACACTCCCTTGCCTGGCTGATCCCATGTGTTCCTGGCAGTAACGTGTCTGGGAAGCCTCGCCACCCCGGTGCCTATCTGTGGAGTTGTGGAGTGATCCCCGGACAGGGGCTCCTGCAGAGCTCATTCCTAAGGGAGGCTGAAAGGAGCTTTCTTCCATAGCCGAAAATCATCTAAGTCCCCAACACTAGCTAAAAGACCCTGTCATGAAATTGCCGTCTGTCCATTCTGACCTTGGAGAAGGATGGTACGTGGGAGGCAAAACCACACAGAGCTCAAGGGCTCTCCTCATTCCACCTGGCTCCTCCTCTTTGCTGGTGCTGGAAGGAGAATGGGGAAAGTGGTGTCTCCACCCTCTCTTAGCCCCAGCTCTCAGAGACTGGTACTCATTGATGGCCACCCTCTTGGATCCTCCCATAGCCCTGCCTGGAAGGGGAGCAGCCCACAGCCCAGTGCCCTCCCATGAATGATAGTCTGGGCTGCTGGTGTTCGGGTAATACTTCAGGGAATGACAGCAGAAAAAGGGCTCTGTCTTCTGCTCACAGAGAAGAGGAGGCAGCAGGAGCCCCAGTATTCATCCTGAGCCACAAGGGCTGTGGGTTTTCAGTATTGTTGCCAACACAGCCAACCACTTCTAGAAGCGTTTCCTTGCTTGCTTGCTTGCTTGCTTGCTTCTGTTTCTACAGCATCAAGTGCTAGATGATCTTACAAACTCGGCAGGGATAGTTCAGTGCAGTGAGATGTTGCTGCCTCTCATGTCTAGGAGCATCTGATGCTTGTGACCTCAGATAGTACTGAAATGGCCCCAGCCTGGGCACCAGGAGACAGGAGGCCAGTCCTGGCCTTCTCTGCCGCCATGTCCTGCTGTAGAGTTTCTACAGGCACCCCATGCCACTGGGCCATTCTCACCTGAGAATAGAGAAAGAACAATCTGCCCCTTATGGAAAGACAAAATGACAAAAAAGGCCCTTATGTGCGGGCAGAATCCCTGCACTCAGAGAGATTTAGAAGCTGAAATTACAGGTTAGGAAGCGGTGGTTGCGCCTTAGTGATCTCAGTATTTTGGGAGGCCAGGAGGGTGATCACTAAACTCAAGGATTTGGAACCACACTTCAATAACATGAAAACCCAATCTTTACTAAAAGTACAAAGTGCCTGGCATAGTGGTGGCGCCTGTAATCCCAGCTAGGGGAGGCTGGGGAGAGGGAGAATCACCAGACGAGGTGAAGGTTGCAATGAGACAAGATCACTTTGTGCACTCCAGACTGGGCAACAGAATGAGACTCCATCTCGAAAATAAAATAAATAAAACTGAAATAAAGAAACTAAAATAACTAAATAACTGAATAGCACCACACTACCTGCTCTGGAGAAAGGACTTTTTTTTTTTTTTTTTTGTCAGGAGCATCTTTCAATGACCTGTTCTGGATTCAAAGCTGAGGAAGAATTCAAACCTTCAAGAGTTCTTACAACTTTCAGATACTCCGATGATTTCAGGGCATAGGCAGACGCTTGTAGTCCGTGTCTGTCCCAGGATTTCTGTTTCTTGGTTTGTGTCACGAGTCCCAAGGAGCTGAGCAATACCTCAGGTGGGTTCTTCCTCCCCAGGGACCTGGGAGAGCCCGCCCCCCACCCCGACTCAGGGGAAGGAGAGCAAAGTGTGGGGTTGGTTCCCTCTAGTGGTCAGTGTTAGCACTGCTGTCCAGTCTCAGTGAACCGAGAAGGAATCAAAAGTGCAATTGAAGACTGAATGGTGCCCAGAACCCTGATGTGCCTGCGCTTGGGCCTTTTCCCAACACACACATTCTCTCTGCTGTGTGGAGGAAACATGAGAGGCAGAGAAAGAATAGGATAGAGAGTGGGATGAGGTCTGTAGAAAGTCTCAAGGACTGGCTATCCTGACATCCTTCCCCACGTTCAGGTTGGCCACCATGGCGTGCTGCCAGAGGACACCCACATGACCATCAAAGAGAGGACAGGTTGGGTGGTATGGCTGGCTGACCCTCTGCACAACCCTCACAATGTTGGTGAC